ATAAAACAGGTCGGCCGACATTTTAAAAATCTGCAGTGCTATGATTAACGTAATGGCTTATGCAATGTAATCAAATGGGTCAAAAAGACAATGTCTACATTACTATTATTCGTTTCGAACCATCCCGACAGCGTCATGGAGGCAACGCTTGATTTTTTGAGCTTTGTCAGCAACTAAAATCTCACAGAGCCGTTTGGAAAACAGACAGGCAGAGCAAAGTTAGTCATCCAAGCCTCTGGCACATTTTGCTTTGGGCCCAACTCAAGCAGAATTTGTCACAATGTGCCATGAGAGAGCAGAAACAGGCAATTAGAGCTGTGCAATGCACAAAACGTCCGTGTGTTTGTGGGGTTCACGCTGACAGACACTGCCTGCTTTGAAGCACAGGCATCATTCATTTTCAACGTAAACCGCCGATTTCAGAGAGCAACCGAGACTGTAGGCGATGCGAGAGTTGACACATTGCAACGACTACAAATGGGAGTGCAGGGACATACAACACCATTCATGCAGAGAGTAATGTTGGATATTAAAGGAACACTCCGACTTTTTGGGACTTTAGCCTATTCACCTTACCCCCCAGAGTTAGATAAGTCCATACATACCTTTTTCATCTCCGTGCGTGCTATAAGTCTGTTTGACGCACCCACCGCTAGCCTAGCTTAGCACAAAGACTGGATGTGAATGGTTGCAGCTTTCATACTGATCCAAATGAGTGGCAAAATAACGCAAACGTTTTCCTATTTACATGTTGTGGTTTGTATAGTCACAGAGTGTGCAAATATCAAGGCCATATGAGACACAGACATCTTTTGACCGTATAAATACTATATTTTCTGAAGGGGAAGCACTGCTACTTGGGCAGAGTGATAACAATCACCTGAGACGCACCGTGACGAGGAGCAGAGAGTTCGCTTCGCTCAGCGTTGGAGTAAAGAGTCAGCAATTACTAACGTTAGATAGAAAAGCATAGTTTATCATGGGTGTTTGCTTTATTGTATGAGCTGTGACAATAAACAGGGGAGACCAGGTAATACAGTACATTGATTTCCAACCAAAAACGCACCAAGATTTATAAATATCACATGAATAAATAATTATTATTACAGGAATCAATATATTTTAAATGCAATTTATTAGCTGAACCAAATGTATTCAACAGTAGCCTATATAATATACAGTATTGCATTACTATAGGATAGAATAAGGGGAAAGTAATAGCACAAATTGTTTTTGCACAATGAACTCACAGCCTATCGTACCCTTTTGCACGCTCAAGTTCGTTATTTCCATGGTTATTTCAAATTTAGGCTACTAGGCGCCGCGCGCAGGGTGCAAGTTCAACGCGGTGAACGCGCTCGTTTTTTTTTTTCCAAGCGCGTCCGCACCGCATCAAGATAAAAACATATTCATACCCTAATCATATAATAGTCTCACTAACGTTACATTAGATCTGGCTAATGGCACTGTTACAGTAGGTCATCTAAAAACATAACGGAACACTTACCTCAGCCGCATGTGATCCACTTGTCCTGTCTGTACGCTATCGATGGGATGGCCGTATCCTTCAGCACATTATGGTCCGTGTGGCAAATTCCATTTTTTCAAAATAGTCGTCCTCATTGAAATGTACCGAGCAAACATAATGTCCCTTGATAATCTTAGGTGTGTTTGGATAAATATCCAGAGTAAGTTAGCCATTTCTTCATCCAGTCAGCGTTTTTAGTTGGAATTCTGTGAAACATGTTACCTCCCCTGTTTACAGTCGCAGCTATTTACAATAGAGCGAAAACCCATGACTGTAAACTACGCTTTTACTATTTATAAATTGCTGACTCTATTACCCAAACACTGAGCGAACTCTCCGCTCCTCACCACGGCGTGTCTCCGGTGATGCGGTTATTACGCCGTCAAAGTAGCAGTGCTTCGCTTTCAGAGAATAGTTCCCAGGTTTTATACGGTCAAAAGATGTCTGTGTCTCATTTGACTTTGTTATTTGTACATTATGTGACTATACAAATCACAACATGTAAATAGGAAAACGTTTGCGTTATTTTGCCACTCATTTGGATCAGTATGAAAGCTGCAACCAGTCACATCGAGTCTTTGTGCTAAGCTAGGCTAGCGGTGGGTGCGTCAAACAGACTTATAGCACGCACGGAGATGAAAAAGGTATGTATGGACTTATCTAACTCTGGGGGGTAAGGTGAATAGGCTAAAGTCCCAAAAAGTCGGAGTGTTCCTTTAAGTGAAATACATTATATTTGTAATTCTAAGTGTTTTGCCACTGTTCACACCAAGAACGATGACTATATTACACTGTTTAATTGAAATGTGTGCGGTCTGCCACTTTAAATGTCCGAGCTCTTTATTCGCATGTGGATTCTGATTGGCTGTCAATGTTTTTATTGTTCATCAGCTGGAAAAACCCCTCTGATATCGTTCAGGTTTGTCGTTTCGGTATAGTTGTGGTGTGGATTTCACTGTTCTTGTAAAGGTGAGGTCACATTTAAAGTTGCTTGACAAAATTTCACAGGCAAAATACAGTCAGAATCCATGAGTTTTGCGTGAGTGCAAACGATTTCGCTCATGTTCATGCTGGTCAGGCAAATTCACCGCTTTGACCCACAAACTGACGTGAAAGTGACGTGACGCTATAGATAAATGTCCTATTTTCGCCTGTAAAATTTGGCTCATGTGACCGCAGCTTCGCCGATGTACAACCAGCTTTGTATCGTTGCGATGTCAGCAGTATTTTACCTTTCTTTATGTTACCTGAACCAGATTTGTCAGAAAAGCTAGCTTTCATGAGAACTACAGGTTGCACATTCTTGCATCCAGCTCACAGAGAGAACAGTTCATCATGTTGGAGTTTCCCAACCTTTTTGGTAGGGATGCACCGAAAATGATCGCTAGTAAAAAAAATCAAACTAGTAAAAAAAAAAAAATCTCTTAAATTTGAGTCTATTGCATAGAACTGAGTGAAAAAAATAATATATTGTTACACAGTAGTCAACATTTGAAGTGGATCAAAATCAAAGTTATACATGATTCTTGTCTTAGGACAACTTTGATGACCTTTTTTGATCCACTTCAAAGGTTGACTATTGTACTTACATTTAATATTATTTTAATATAGGGCTATTTTCTGTCCAAGCTTTGTGTTACTTTAAATAAAAATAACTTTTTAGCAAAAGGGAACGCCCACAACACTTCCATTTTTCTCTAGTCGTGTAGCACCTTTTTTTTTTTTTTTAAAGCCCATCTTGCCAGCTATGAATACCCAGTTTAAAACATTACAGCCAGGCCAATAAATCGGTTTTTTTTTTCATACCATCATCATCATCATCATCATGTCAATATTACACACACCTGGAAAGGGAAGATATTCTCGCTCCTGCTGTCATCCATCCAGGACTTGGGGTTGAATCCGGGACTGGTGCGGGAGTACTTCTGCTGGGGCATGTGGTTGTTGGGGAAGGTCTTCTTCAGCGGAGAGATGGAGTTGAGAGGCGTCATGCCTCCGTTGAGGCCTCTGCGATACTCGCGACCCTGGGACCCCCCCCACCCGCCGTAACCCCCACCCGGGCTCCAGGAGGTGGAGGAGGGAGAGGGCGAGGGGCTCTGGTAGCTGCCCCACGGGGAGGGAGGCTTGCTCAGGCTGTTGGAGAGATGCGGCAGCTGGCCGAAGGGGGCGTTGCGGTGCGGGAACGGGGGCTGGTGAGGACTTGCCGGGGAACGCCGATGCTGCTGGTGCTGGCTGTGGGGGTGCTGGAAGTGGGGGTGGGGGGGGTGGTGCTGGGAGATTGGACCGATTTGAGGGGAGAAGTTGCCTCCGAAGCCCGGGCTGACATGGTGGGAGAAATTCTGGAACAGCAGAGGGCCGTTGTTGGCGGAGGCCGCCGGGTTGAAGAAGCTGATGTCCTCGTTGATGATGGTGGAAGGAGTGGGGGGGATAGCAGCTGACCAGTTGTTGAAACTGGTCAGGGAGGAGGAGGAGCTGGATTGGGCCGCCGTTCCCAGTCCCGAGGGCTCCTGATAGTCAAAGGGCGTCAACACGGGGGAGTCCAAACGAAGCTTCTCCTTGCCGTTGGTCCCGTCGGATGACCCGCTCTCCGCTTTAATCTCTTCAGCGCGAGCCTTTTCCAGCTCGGAGATGATCCCACTCTCCTGGTGTCCGGGCGAGAGCTGCTGTTGCTTCTCTTGGGACTCTTGCAGCTCCTGCTGCTGGACTTTGGGCTTTTCCGAGCCCAGGATTTCATCTTGCATGCTGCTGTGGGCGCCGGCTGCCGGGAATAGCCATGTCGAACCGGTGTTGGTGCCATTCCCAGCCGGGGTGCTGTTTATGAAAGCGGCGGGGCTGGTGGTCGCATTTTGGTGGTGGTGTGGGGGTTGCAGGTGAGGGTGGATTCGTACTGGGAAAGCAGACTTGTTGCCAGTGTTGTTCTGCACTAAGACTCCAAACCCGTAATCCCCCATTTATGTTCTCCAGTTCAACCTGGCTCCAACACACTTATTCTTGCTTCCTATCCCCTAAAAAAAACGCATAACCACGGTTAAAATACTCCATGATGCAGTTGCACAACATAATTCATGACACACTACACTAATAAAGGGTGTGTTCACATTTATAGCTCAATACGTTTGGTTCGGGCCAAAAAAAAAAAAAAACAACAACACTTTTTTAACACCGAAACCAAGGATACCGAAACTAAAGCCATAGGGATACGTTCACAACCTGATTGGTCGGCTTTTATGACATAGCCTATATTTCGAGACATACAAAACATTTTTGCGCCCGGTGAATGTGGGTAGCCTACATATGATGGCATTTTAACCAGCTGAGATCTCGTGAACAGCTTACAAAATGTGTAAGTGGCAGGAATCAGGAACATTTGCTGCGAGGAGATGCAGTTCTGAACTGTGATGGGCAACATCATGACTGTGACGAGAACACAACTGTTTAGGGTCGCATCTTGTGACGTCACATCCCTTATTGGTTCGTTTACATGTCTTTGGTCCATGTTGCATTCATATATCATTCGAACAGCACCAGAGTTTGTTTGGGAGACCCAGCTTTTCAGGAGTTTCGCTCCACTTGTTTGGTGCGCATCAGAGTTCGGTTGGCAGCGTTCACGCTTATTCAAATGAATCGCACTATTGTATCAGGATTCGTTTTAATCTAACCAAACATGCCAAGTGTGAACACACCCAAAAGCTCCAAAGGGGGTTTTCACATTGAAGAACCACATTAGGTTCCCAAATGAACCTTTCAGAGAACAGTTATCTTAGTGTGAAAAACACTCTATATAATCTATATATAACCTTTATCCACCATAAAGAACATTTTGAAGAATGGAAACGTTCAATGGATGTTAAAGGTTCTTCCTTTATAAGTGTGTGGAAACACTGAGGACACCCATTGGTGAGAGACTATGTGGCACTCTGCCACCAGACGTCACAAATACTGACAGGAAAGATATATTTGATGAACATGTCATATCATTAATTCCCCGACTATGTATAATGCCATACTGGCTATAACACAAGCTATAAAGGTCTCTCGGGCTCTAATTATAGATTCGTGACGTCTCTTCAGCTAACAGCTAACAGGCTACCGGCTTATTCAACAGGAACTGCTAAAAGGCTCCATATCAACCGAAAGGCCGACTCGACCGTGTTTTTCTGACGAAAAAATCACACAGCTAGGTAGCTTACACGACAAATCACCTCATATGTCATTACAATTCAAATATCATTGAAGGAAAAAGATTCTTCCCTTTTTAACGAACGTAAGCTCGATCAGAAAAATGATGACGTCTTCTGCTCGCGAGCTATAATACACACAATACTGCACGATTTAACACATATAAAACCACAACACACATGTAACATTAGGGATTGATCATTTATAAATACAAAGACAATAAATGAATTAAATTTTCACCTTCGTGGCTGATCCGAGCGATGACTGAGGGCTCGTTCCAGATATCACAACGCAAACTAAAGCAGAACCTCGAATAAACCGGTGATCTGATATAATGAAGCGGGGATCTTTAATCCGTCAAGAGTGTCTATTTGTTTTCTCCCTTCCTCGTCTTGACGTGTCCTGCCTTCTCAATGACACAGCCCTGTCTTGCTTTAGCCAGCTGCTAACCTTTAAATCACTTGCGTAGACGATTCTACGTCATTGACTTCAATATACAAAGACTAGTTTAGTTACTGGTGAACTACAAAGCGTTCATGCGTCCTTTTCATTGTTGGATTTTTGTTTCTCTGTATTATTTTTTATTTAATTTTTTTTCCACCAGCGCACTTCTATTCCCTTCGCTGTGCTGCCGCTGCTGTCCTTTTCCTCTCCAATCTACTGAAGCCAAATGACAAGGAGACACAGTCCACACACACTTCCGGCTAAAGCCACGCCCACATTGCGTCAGATCACGCCCACGGGAACCTCACAAGGCGTATGTTCCGCCCACGCTGTTTGAGAACGAGGCATTTAATTGGTCAGAACGCAAGCTATTCCCGCCCACTTTTTCCTCATTTGAATGCGATTCATAAATGTGTGTCTTCCCTTTAAGGTCATAGCCTATGCTCTGAAATCTCCGCCCTATAAGGTCAATAAGCCTATGAGGATTATGTTGTGTGTATTTGCATCACCATATAATGCAATATTATCCTCATTATTTCTCCTGGTGTCAGAATACTGTGGTGGCTTGTGCAAATTGTGTGTGAGTGAGTGTGTCTTATCTTAAGACACTGGTAGGAATTGAATCAGCAGGGGTGAGCTTTTCTCTGTTTGGATGACACCTGCTTGAACCCTTCTTCCCTGTTTTAGGTGAGCCGGATCAATCTCATTACCCATGTTCCAGCAAACGGATGGGTCAGAGAGCAGGAAGGAGAGAAAGGATCTGAATATGTCATCTGTGCCCTTAGACAGAGGTCTCGTTAAGATCTGCTGCTGTTTTCTCTCCATAATGGAGCTCATCCACCATTATCATTTAGACCAACAATGCAGAACAATGAGAAACTAGGTATGAGAGACCACGGAGGGTGTGTGTGTGTGTGTGCATGTTTTTCTATCCCGGTGGGGACTTGCACACCCACTCATAATGGGACTAAATTAAGTTCCCCATGAGAAAACAAGCATATTGGCATAGAATGAGAATATATAGTTTGTATAAAAATCATTATGTCTGTGGAAAGTCGCCACAAACCAGATTTTTCTAAACCTAGACAGAATAATCAGGAGGTTGTATCACTAATCTGCAATAAATAGACATGAAATATTGATTGATGAACTGTTTTATTACACTAGAAGGAGACTGCGGAGCACTGTAAAAAATGATTTTTTGGTTAAGTAAATACTAGTGAAAAAACCCAATGTAATTTACTTGAAAAAGTTAGTTCAGGCAAGAATTTAAAAAACTAAGTAAAAATTACTCAACTTTTCTGATACTGGGGTTCCCATCATGCACTGGACCTTGAATAATTAATGAGGTTCATTTTTCACTGGTTTCCAGCTGTATTTACACTGTTTTATCATTGATTTTTGTTTTCAGTATTAGTAAATTGCCATTTTGTGACATTTCGAGTAAATTTTTTGCTTAAAACGACACATTCAAACACAAAAACGATCCATCAAATGTTACCACCATTGTGTATCGTCTACCAAGTATTGAGGTGTTTGCATTCACATAAGGCTTAAAGTCTGACATGATGTATATATAAATTACTTAGATGATATAAGTAAAGAACATACTATAAATTACTAATAAAATTCAAGATAATTGTTTTAGTGAAGTGTAATACAAAGGCAAAGGAAATCGGTATTAATCAACCTTTTACAAGCCGAGTTAAATTTACTTATTTTTTGTAAAGTTTACTTAATTCCACATTCCAAGTAAATTTAACTTAAAGATTTCTAATTAAAGCGACAGATAAATATGTTTAGGTTTTTACTTGGCAAATCTTTGTAAATTTACTAGCATTTTCTGAGTGAGATCGTTTAGCAAGGTTTTTTCAAGTAAATCCTACTCCAATTTTTTTACAGTGAGGGATAGACAAGAAATATTCTCTTGTAGTCAATAATTGTATCCCTTTAAACTCAAAATTACATATTTAAACTTTTTCTTGAAAAAAAACTAGGGCTGTCAAACGATTAATCGCGATTAAACGCATCCAAAATAAAAGTTTGTTTACATAATATATGTGGGTGCACTGTGTATAATTATTTTGTATATATATATACTATATACACATACATGCATGTATATTTAAGGAAAAAAGTATTTTAATATAAAGTATTTATATTTGTATATAAAATAAATTATATATAAATCTATATACAGTATATACATGAAAATATTTCTTAAATACATACAAGCATGTGTGTTTATTTATATATGTATATATATATATATATATATATAAAATAATTATACACAGTGCACCCACATATATTATGTAAACACAAACTTTTATTTTGGATAAGATTAATCGCGATTAATCATTTGACAGCCCTAAAAAAAACCCATCATGCCTTAATATACCTTGAATGTAACTCTACACCCTTGCCTCAGTTAGTATATGCAGTTCTATGAATATGCAAATGAGCCCCGCCTCCAATCACTCATTCAACTCAGAGATCCACTCGTCGGCGTTCACACGTTGATCTGATTGGTTACAAGGTTTGTGACGTCAGAAACACCAGCGATTTCAAACCGTGTTTTTTAAAACTGTCTTTGGTTCAGAAAATACTCAGCAATACTGTCGACTTATGAATTTACACATGGTTTGTCTTAAAGCACATTAAAAATACCACTATTAACAACATTAAAACCTTGATTTTCACCACAAGGGAACTTTAAAATATTTGATATTTGTCCAAGTATCCCAGGAATTAATGTACTGATTGTCACTAAATAACAAAACTAAGTAACTTAAACACTATCTGACCAGCTGCTTGACACGTGAAAACGTTTTTGCCCAAAACATTCACCGCAGACATCAAGAGTTTTTTTTTTTTTTCCCCCTATGGAGCCACATTGGGTAGCCCCACCCACACTAAAATTCAATTGGCCAAAATCTCTCTGCTTTTAGTAGGCCAGAAACGCTAACAGTGGAAACCAGTTAGCATTAGCACGTCAATAGGGTTATTTTTATTTGTTTTTGGTTAAATGCCTCAGATAAGGTCTGTGCGGTGAATACAAGCTGAAGATAATTTCACATTTTATTCTGACATAAAATACATCAGATTTTGTTTAAGCTTTTCCCTGTCTTGAACAAAGCTGTTGTTGCTAATAAGTGGCTAAATGGGACTTTGAATGTCGTCATGCTGAACAGGTAAATTCATATATCTACACTACTTTGCTTTTACAGCCTCGTTGTGTTTAAGAAAAAGATTGTTTTGTTCTTAAAGAAAGAGTTGTTGGAAGCTTCCCAGATAGCAAACTGACATTGAATCAACGTGGAAATATGACATCGAAACAACGTTGATCTGACATTGTTTTGCTCATCGAATTAACGTTGAACGAACGTCAGATGCGTCATTCTTTCAAAACTAACGGAAAATCAACTTGAAATCAACGCGTTGTTTCAACGTTATGAAAGCAAACCAATTTTCGATTTCATTTAGCTTTGAAGAATGCCGCGTCTGACGTTGGTTCAACGTTAATTCGATGAGCAAATCAACGTTGTTTCAATGTCATGAGAGACGTCGTTTCCACGTTGATTCAATGTCAGTTTGCTGTCTGGGTTAGTTGTGGTGGAGTCATTCAACCGTGGTGTAGTTCGCTAGTAAATTGTACCTTTAGCTTTTTACGTCTGATGATTGTATGTAAGCTTCAAGATTATCATGATGAACAAAACACATAAGAATCATAAACTCTTGTCGGTCGCAGAGCTGATTTTCTGCAATAATCCAAAAGCCAATTGAAAATGCTGTTTTTTTTTTTTTCAAGGGATCCAAGGTGATGCAAACTTCCCGGTTGACCTACAAAAATCCTTTGTCATTGCAGTGCTCTAGAACTATTGATAGTCTTTGGCTTAGCTAACAGTCCTCTGATATTATGAACGAAAGGCGCACAACTTTTTTCCAGAGATATTTCTACTTAACACTGAACCAGAATTAGAGTAAAGTTCAAACAGGTTTATTTACGGATATGGCAGGAATACAGTGTACAAATAGGTAAGTGATCATCCTGTACTTGACAGCAGATAAGATGTACTTGTATTGTTAACTTTTAATCTTTGTCTTACAGAATCGTTAGAGAACACGCACACAAGAAACCAGTCTGAGATGAGGGATGACTGCAAGATGACTTGAACGACTGGCGATCGACCTGGTTGAGGTAAACCGCAGTAGCTAGCAAGGTAGTCAGGAACATAAAGTGGATTAAAGGAGAACTCAGGCACAAAATGAACCTTTGGTCCAATAAAACATCAGTACCCGTTCACTGAGATTTGTTTTCACGATAATCGAATTCAAAGAGTTTTATCTCTAAAAACTGTTTAGCGTATAATGCTAGTAATGGGGTGGGAGCATTTAATGAGTAAAAAGAAATAGCTAGTTAATACCACTAACAAGGCTCAAAATAGCCCCACACTAACACAGTATTTTTGAGCCTTGTTAGCGGTTAGCGAAAACTAGCGATTTCTTTTTACTTAGTAAATGCCCCCATTACTAGCGTTTTATGCTAAACAGTTTTTAGAGATACAACTCTTTACATTCGATTATCATGAAAACAAATCACAGATCCCACCTCCACGAATGTGGCGAGTGTCGTTCATTATGCCCTTGTTGAGGTAAATTGTAGTTTAACCCCGGTCTTAAAGTATAGACCCAGTTGGTAAACATGGTGACGTTTTTTTGTGGGCGGAGCTTAGGTGGAGGCAGAAAGATCCCTCTGGCCGCTTTACTAACGCTTGTTAGCAAGGATTGTTAGCTTGTTTTTTAACAATGACTGCAGAAAATCTGATATTATCGTGTAAGGTCATTCAGTGTCCAGGACCGCGAATGTTATTTCCAAAAGTTATTTTTAACGGACGGAACCAGATTGACCGACCCGTAGCCACCTACACGCTCACTCAATGCATGGATGATCTGACAGGATTAACGTACGTTACCTCGGTTGAGTGGCCTGACTTCTACACCTACCTTATAGAGAAACCGAGAAACTGATAGAAACTGAGGGGATATAAATCATTAGATGACTATATGGTCCTGTACAAGACTTGTGTGTACGATCCGCAGTTCTGCCGAGCCAGCGCCGAGACCACGACAATGTAAAGAGTGACATTACAGTGCGATTTTAATGATGTGAATATTTTCTAGAAATAAAAGTTCCAGATACAGCATATTCATTTTTCATCAATTCTTGCACCA